TAAGTTTCGCGTGCAAAAGAATGCGTTTCTTTCTTTCTAACAGCTGGAGATAACTTGCGTTAAAGAAAGCTTGTAGGCACTACATGGTTATCGCGTTGTACATGGTGGTGGTTTCTGAGAGAAATCCTTAAAAGTGATTCTTTATAAAGAATGCTTTTTCATGCTGTTGGTAGTAAAAAATTTAAAGTACTTTGCCATAAGAGTTAAACTAGATCAAATTACCATTGTCAACGCAGTTAGCAAAAGCAGAACAGCCTCCGTGGTTCTGAGAGCAGGGAGAATTTGGGTGATGCGGTTGACAAGTAGAACCAACTTCAAAAAACCCAGGTTTGCATTGACAGCGCTTAGTTCCCTGCAAAAGATTATCATATAGTTTTTTTATATATTTTTTTTATATTTATTTTTGTTGTTTATTTTCCTTTATATGCAGTAATAATTCTTTATATGTTGTAATAGTTTGCCTTTTCTCTGTAAATTTTGTACTTATTAACTTAGCAGCACATTGTAACTCTCTGACCTACGCCATATAAGCCTCTGGCTTTGGCATCTTATTATCGTTAACTTGTGCTTTGTGTACTTCTTTATCAATAAAGAAAATATATTTATTTTGTCGTGTATAGGATAGCCTATGCCATAGACGAGGGTTATGTCCGTCTCCGAGCTAGCGCCGAAATCCTTGTTCTAAGTCCCAACCTATGTACCAGAATTTGCGTAAGCATCATGATTGGCCCGTTAAGAAGGTCATTGTCAAATTGCCAATCAGATTAAAGGGAAATTCGAGACGCACTTCCGGTAATTGTTTGAGTCCATTGAGGCCCAGAACACGGATAGAGAGCTAAAGCAACAACGATGGCGACGGCCACGAGAACGTCACTTAAAAAGTTAATTCGCGCTGCTTCAAACTTTATCGCGCTTATTCTATCTTGTTTACTGCGTCAAATGTTAGGAAATGTTTTTGGAGTTTAATTCTAAAGGACTGTATCAAAGTTTAGGAAAAGAAAAAAAAAAGTTGTTGTCGTGAGTTCCCCTCCTCGATAAACGGTGAATTTAGGCACTTTCACGTTGTAGTCGTGCAACGTCGGCAAAGAAATGTACAAAAAAAGCGTGATGCACGAACAAAGTTGTTGTTTCGTCATTCTAAACCCGTTGCCGTCCCCGTCGTCGTTGATTAAGCTCCCTAAAGTCGCTGCTTCGCAGCCGTTACTGACCGGGGTCTAATAGACCACTTCCGAGTTCCAAAAACCCTCGCTTTCAAAATGAGGCTAAGTGCACAACCTTTGTTGTGAAAGTGAGTTTATTTGCATGAGAATGAAAAATCATTTCCATACCAAAGGCTGAGCACTTAGCCTCGTTTTGATACAGAGACCAGGGGAACTCGGAAATGGCCTACTAGGCTAATTTAGCAACAGAACGGAAACGTCAATTGACGACGGCGCGCGCAAATCAAACAACTGGCTCGACCAATGGCACAGCGGCAAATTGGGCACCGGAAGTCGAGTTTAGTCCTTACCGCGCGCTTTCCCGTCGTCAAATGACGTTCCTGTTCTGTTGCTAAATCAGCCTATTATGTCTGCGACGTTGGTTAGTATTGGATAGTAACGCTTATTTTACAAAGCTCAGATGCTCTTAGAGAACATGCAAACTTACTGGAGCAACAAAGAAACAAGTGGCATTGACACTGCATCCGCCGTTGTTAGTGGCACAAACGTCAATCATCTGACAGTAGTATCCATCACCACGGTAACCGGGTTTACAAGAGCATGTCACGCGATCAACAGCAGATTTATGGCACACTGCAAACACATGGCAGCCTCCATTGTCCACATTGCATGTGACAGAGGGCACTGAAAGATAGTGGTATCTTAATATCAATTTTTTTTCATATATTCATTATTTCATTACTATTAAATACTAAAATAGAAAGGGAAACCATAGGTTAGGAATGCCAAAAAAGTGACATTTCAGTGAATTTCTTCAACAACCTCAAAATTAAGGAACACCTTACAGCATAAAAAACAACAACGCAGGAAAGAACTGCTCAGTAGCTCAAGTTCCATTTGAATGGTCACACATTGGGGTTTTATCCACAGACTCAAAAGTAAGAATCATCTTGTACAGCACAATTAACAGTTAAGTAGCAAAGACACTTGCTTCCCGGTAGCTTTGATTAAATGGACACACCAGGATTTCATCCACCTCAAAAGTTGGAACCACATTTTACAGTTTTATAAACAGTACCACAATAAAAGTACTGCTCAGAAGCTTTCATTTGAATGGTCACACCAAAGACCAAAGACCAACCAACACGGATCAAACTTACGTGTCTCACATTCATTACTTCAGCGACAGAAATAATAAAAATTTCTTTAATATACCTGGGCATGAATCGGAGTTTTCTATGCAGCTTTCGCAAGCTGTTCCATTGTAGCCTGTGTCACACACACAAGAACCGTCTCCCTCAAGCCCGTCGATACAATTTCCCCTTCTGCTGCACGGTAGCTGAATTCCACCAGGGCAAGCTAAAAATGTATACAAATTCAATTATAGTGCTTTCACATGATGTCATGGCGGCCATATAAAGTGTTGTCTCATGACGTCACGGCGGCAATATTGGTGTCCCAAAACAATGAAACCGCGGCCATGTTGGTGTTCCGAACCAGTCCTCTGGGAGTTGAACTCTTTTGTTATGCAAACGCTTTCTTTTGTTCCAATAAATTTGCATAGATGCTGGCCACGTGAATGAAAACACTGACGGTAGGCGAATCCTTGTTTACAGTTTTTGCCTCATTAGCATAGGCTTCTCATTATCTGATGAAGCTAATAAAATGAAATTTCTGAATATTGAGGAGCATAAAAATTTCAGTCTGAAAATTTGAGCCCGATATACCAGATAGTTTCGGAGGAATTCTCTCTGAAAAACCCCAAAATTTACAAAGAGTGTATGATCTTATTAACGTTTTTCCACCCAGTAACTTTGCAAAGGTTGCAAACAGCTTAAACTTGCCAGCGTGCAAAGAAAGTAGTGTCCGATAGCCCGGGGCTAGTGGATTTTGCTATCGGGCTAGTGAATTCTGTTTTTAACTTGCCCGACGGGCAAGAGATATTTTTTTAGGAATTCGAATAACAGAAGAACTGTAATCAATCCTGCTAATCAAAAAGAGTTTTGGGGCTAGTTGAAATGAGTTGTGGGCTAGTACATGCTAGCTACAGCTTGCCCGAATGGCAAGCTGTAAAACTGACTTTCTTTGCACCCTGCTTGCACAAACTGCATAAATCAACCAGCTCTTTTAATTTTTGAACCTAAATGGTATTTTCGGCTACATTTTCTAAGGGTTCACACGTACGCTAATCAGGGGGCAAAAAAGGAAACAATGACGTCACGATGAATCCGCCTATTGGTGTTCCAAAACAATGAAACGGCGGCCACGTTGGTGTTCCAAACCAGTCCTGTGGGAGTTGAATTCTTTTCTTATGTAAAGACTTTCTTTTGTTGCAATAAATTTGCATAGATGCTGGCCGGGTGAGTGAAAACGCTCTGTAAGCCACTGCGAAAAATACCATAAGATTCTCAAACTGCCGTTTGGGTAGGGCTTTATGTAAACCTGACGTTCGCCATGGCCTTTTTCCAAAATTACCATTTTCATCTATAATACGTAATTATTCCGGCGTTTGTTGTTACCAATGCACAATACAATTCAGAGTACGTATGGGAGGCTTGCACTAGTCTAGAACCTGCAGCTTTGTCTTTGATTAAAGAGTTCTTACAATTCACTACTTTCGTTGACAAACTCTTAAACAAATTCAAAAGAGAAAGGTACTGAAGTATACTTCACAGATCTTCATAGCTATCGTTGAACGTTAGGACAACTGTTTTTCCACGCTAATACGGTGAGTATGCAAATTTTTGACCAAACTGACAAATTGCACCATGCAAATCGTACTGCAAATCGTGCAACCTAAGCACAACACTCAACAGAACCGAGCATATAGGGTGCATTGTAAAAGAGGTGCTTTTGTCAAATCCTGACACTTCAAATTGAAACAAAAACTTACCCAGACAGCTCGGACCATAGAAGTTAGAACAGCAGCGTTTAACTCTCTCCCGTCGTAAACAGATTGGCTGACAGCCCAGCAGATTGTCACTATACGTGCAGTTATGATTGGTTTTACTCTAATGTAAACACAAACAGAGGAAATAAACACAAGTACAGATACAAACGTTTTATTGCCCACTCCTGAGGGGCTGTCCAGGTAAAATTTCGCCACTTTAGCGACTGGAGGGAAACTGGGATCGTTACTGGTAAAGCGCTGGTCAACTATTGCCCTATTTCTTTTCTCTGTCCTCTGTAACTGTCCCAAAAGACTTTTCGAATTTTAACAGGGGCACCCAATGAGAATATAGTTCAAAACCACTTAAACATAGCATTGTTAAACGTATTTTAGTATTTAAACGGTAGATATAGGTATATTTTTATCCCTTAAAAATTTTTCATCTGTTCGGTTTTCCTAGCTGAAAGTCTAGCGATCCGAGAATTATGGGGATCAAAACTTACCTTTTCGAAAATTTCAGCCAGAAAAAAGGCTCCCGCAAATTCTAGGTGACCTTTTTAGGGTAAAAATCAGTTTAAAATGGGCAATTATACCTATTTTTAGATCTTCGAAAATCCTAGGAGAGGTAGGCAAGCAAGAAATTTTACAAAAAATGTTCCGAAAATTCTAGATCTAAAATCGTCTTCCGAACAGATATTTTCCGAAAATTGATGTTGGGTGCCCCTGTTTTAACTAGGCCAAGTTTACATCTCGTTTCTAAAGTGGTGAATATTGCGCAGGGGACTCAACATTTTGCGATCGCGAGAGGGCTTCAAAGGAACCGTGTTAACTTTTCTGGTGGAAAAAAGTGAACTGAAGCTTTTAGTGATATCTATTTTTAAGAATACGCGAAAAAACTTTAAGTCAAATCTCGTTCTCGTTGTCGTTCTCGTCCTCGAATCTAAAGGTCTCTAATACTGAAAAAAGCAAAAAACAAAGGCACCGGGGTGCACGTCTGTATAAACTACAAAATTAACTGTACTTACAACAAGAGACGTGTCTTGCGGGCAACTCACAGGAACAAAACAATTTCCACATTGGCCCTATCATGAAAACATGACATGATGTTATTCTCGAGATAAGTATAATTGAGCCAGATTCTTTTAACCAGCCGCCGAATTTACAAATACAGTCGAAGCTCTCCATGCGATCACTCTCGTAAGCGACCAGCTCTAGTTACGACCACCTTTGTGAAACCCCGTTTGAACTGTGACTTGAACTTTGTAATGAAAAGATCTCGTAAGTGACCGCTCCCGTAAGCGACCGCCACCACTTTTGGGATTACCCACTCAGAGTGTTGTGTATATAAATCAACACTCGAATGAACTGACACTGCGCTAATGGTCTAAAAAAATGGATGTAAAATTTAGCCATGTCTATATCAGACATAAAGAAACTCATTTAACATTAATTTCTTTTGTTTTTTCTTTCTGGATTACAAATGAGTTTCTGAACCTCTCGTAAGCGACTATCCCCTATTGTTCTCCTATAAGGTCGCTTACGAGAGCTCATTCTCGTAAGTGACCAGCTCTAGTTACGACCACTTTGCCGAATTTCCGAGGTGGTCGCTTACGAAAGCTTCGACTGTACTTCCTCAGTTTAGGTATCTCCTACGAAGTGATTGTTTTTCGTATCAATGGGGTATTATTTTGAGACAATACTTGAGATACTTCTTAGCTTGAGAAGAATTCGTAAATCTGATGCCAGATAGTTAACACTCTAACCATCCCATTGCCAAGAAGAGTGAATGACCTCTCCATATTAATCTTACAAGATCACTACTGCATAGCAAAAGCCAACAACATTTTCTAACTGTTTTGGAAGTAGCCTGATTCACAAATCGAGTAAGTAAGTAGTATATTGGGATAGTTCACTACCAGTTACTGGAATGAATCAGTGAAGCGCCATCGTTTAAATTTTCACTGCCCCTCTTCCTCAGAAATCTTCACCTCAACAGCATTCTCATCGCGCAAAAATGAATTTACTCCGCAGAAACAAAGTGAACCTCTCTCGACGTTTTCACAACATCACGTTGTCTTTTTCAAGATGGCGATCTCATTCGAGGTCGCTGGCTACGGGACGAAAGACTGAGCAACGCCGACGAGACTTAGACTTCCTGATTATTGTACTTGTTATCGGTATGTCGGCCTGTAACACTTGGCAGCACTGTTACTAAACGTGAAACCCCTTCACTCCTACGCTCACCACTGCAGAAGAATGTATGAACAAGAGGGTTCAGTGTAGCGATGCTTCCATCGATGTTAACAATTTCGAATTCTGGAGTTTATTTAGGCAGCATTGCAAGGGGTCAACAGCAAACAAAAAACATTATTTACCATAATGTGCGTTTCCTTTATTACATCACAATTGCCACCAAATCCAAGAGGAATCAGAACTTTGTCCACGCCCAATGCCACACCACCGTCAAATATCAAATCTCGTTCAATCAGCTTGCTGTCACCGTTCACAAAAAGGTCACCCTAGCGGATAAAAAGCGAAATCATACAAATAAATTCGTCTCTCCCTTGACAGAAAGTCTAATGTGGCAGCGTTCACACTTGATGCCCAGTCAGGTGCACGAGCTACGGTACGCGCTGGGTGCTAATATGAATACAGTCTCTTAACTCTCTCTTAACGGACTCCTCTATAAGACGGACACCTCTGAAAAACGGACACCTAGAGTTGGTCCCTGCTTTTCTTTACTCCCCTTATTTGACTCTCTATAAGACGGACTTCTCTCTAAGACGGACACATAGTACTGGTCCCAAACGTGTCCTTCTTAGGGAGAGTTGACTGTACACCCTTTTTCAATTACCCACGTCAGAAACATTGTACTCGGGCACTTAAGTGGGCCACGTGACAGTATCCCAGCATGCTCACTGTCTTGTTTGTTCACATTGCTAATTACGCGTCTTTCTTCGCTACGGACCTTAACGTTAGCGAAGAAATTACTGGCAAGTGACAAAATTACAGCTTAGTGTCAAACAATTAGGTCTCAGAAGCATTATATCAAACGTTCCAAACAATGAAAATGAACGTGCACAGTTGTCATCCGTTAAAATCTTCTTCAAGTGCGATTTTCGTATGACCTTGGACTGAAAACGTGCGAACAAAACAGAAGCAACAAACGAAAGGAAATAGAGCGATTTGATTGGTTCATCGAACGGATACAAAGGCGCGTGGCTTTTGGTTGGTTAAGCGAACGTTCGGGTGAAAAAACGGCCCGAGAACTTTCTAGAAATCAACCGATACTTCGCTTTAACGTTATACTGCGACACGATTGGCCAATCGAGCAATGCCTTTTCCATATTAGAGTTGTCTTTGGCGGGAAAACGAAGAGGCCATGTTTTTGATCTTTTCATCCATTGGCTGATAAAACAAATAAGGAAAACTTATTGAAACTATTTTTCAAGGGTCATACGTAAATCGCTCTAACGTTTTGAGTGGATGTTTTTATGTCCCGCACAAATTGGTGACAGTGACCACTATTTGAATTTTGAGAGATTTCGTGACACATCTCCTTAAAGAGTTAAAATAAAGAAATTCTCCTGCACTTGAATCACATTCCACTAACCTTTCCTCCTTTGCAGGACACAAACAAACTTGATCTTCCGAGGGATCTCAGTTCCAGGCCCGCGCCAGTTCTCAAAAAGGACTGGGTGCTGAAATCAGGCTGCAATGATATTCAACAATATCATTAATAATTCATAAGGGAAAACAAAGGGGAACGAGGATGGCGCAGTGGTCAGAGCATTCGCCTCCCACCAATGTGGCCTGGGTTCAAATCCCGGCGTCGACGCCATATGTGGGTTGAGTTTGTTGTTAGTTCTTTACCTTGCTCCGAGAGGGTTTTCTCCACGTACTAAGGCTTCCCCCTCTCCCACATTTCCAAATTTCAATTCTATCAGAAATGATAGACGACGAATCACTCTGTGGATCTGCTGCCTCTATACCGTTATTTTAATTTTAATTTTTTTATTATTTTTTTAGGTATGGATATTGGATCTTAATGACCGTACAATTTAGCGAATTTCTTTACAAATCATTGTTCTTTTGGAAAGCTATTTCAAACGATAACTGTTGTGCTGGCCTAACCACACCAATGTAGGTTAAGTATTCCAAGTCTTCGTCTAAATCTGAATCTGAATCGAAGTATGAATACGAATCTAAGGGCGTTTTCCAAATGAAATGTTAGATTGGCCTGCCAGACAAGACCAGTTGTAAAGAGAATTCCATTATCAATCACAACTATCCAATCGCAACAGTCTATTCTTTAATGGTATGCTCGAAAGTGGTGGATTTTTGGGGACAATTTTGACAAAATTTTCATGATGACCGGGCCGGCAGCCCAGTTCTGACTTTTGGAAAGCACACAAAGTCTAAAATCGGTCCACGGTGCCTTGCGGGCAGTGTGAAAAAATCATGCAAGCTTCAAAACTTTCCAATGTTGTAGATTTTATCATTTTCACGTGACCAAATACTCGGCGCGAACATTGTCTTGCAAGGCACAACTTTAAAAATAAAAGTAGTCGTTTGTTTACGATAAAACATACCTCGAGCCCTTACCTGAATATGCGCAACAACATGGTACTGTATAAAGTGTATCAATTCCAACACTCTCTGGGGATCTCGGAGTTTGTTTTGAAAATCTACTGGTAAATTGTTTATGGCATAATCAGTGGGCCAGAACATCAATAAGGGTCTGTTTACTTGAGTATCCAGCGTTTTTCGTAACCCCGCCAACTGAAGATGGAGGAAACAAAAGATTCATTTAGCGTTTCACGCTGTTCCTTTCCATGTACCTTCGCGTTTTTAATCTTTATAATGATTCTTTTTGAGGCACAGCAAAAATTCCCATCACCCTTTGCGCCACGACTAGCGCATGAAAACATAAGAAGAGCCTGCAGACGGCGACAAAATGAGTTGAGACACTTTGCCCTAAACAATGGGCGATAAAATGAGTTGAGACACTTCGCCCTAAACAATGGGCGATAAAATGAGTTGAGACACTTCGCCCTAAACAATGGGCGATAAAATGAGTTGAGACACTTCGCCCTAAACAATGGGCGATAAAATGAGTTGAGACTGGCTTTGCCCTAAACAATGGGCGATAAAATGAGTTGAGACACTTCGCCCTAAACTGGGCTTTTTTACGTTTTACTGACTTCAAAAGGAGGAAATATAGCTTTTCCTCCCCCAACCCCTCCATGCAATGCTGTGCCGATGTTCAAGCTACCTACAGAAAACAACAAGCACCCCAACTTTAAATGGAGGGAGCAGGGGAGGGGCGCGGATTCTTTTCTTCTCTGAGGTTATCCTATTTGAGTCCCATGTCTCAACAATTTTGTCGCCGATTGTGGGTACGAAGTAGGGGAGAAGTCACTGTTTTTGCCGTAACAGTATTTTCTTAGTCCTCCTTAGTACCAATATTTCTAAATTCCACTTCAATCAAGAATCAAATGTGAAGAAGTAGTCTCACTCACCTCAACTAGCTTTGCAAACTCTCCGTATCCACTGTTCTTGGCCAAATCAATATAGGAAACCTGAAGATATGAACAAAAAAAAAACAGCACAGTAGTCATGTAAGAAATAACATACCAGACATAATCGAATGAAACTTCATCTGTGATGCTAGTGTCAGCCTTGGCACAATGTCGTTTCTGCGTTCTTTTCACAACAAAATTGAGTCGTCAGAGAGCAGAAAATGTGCGCAGTGAAGTCGCAGATGCCGCAGGTAATAGACAACTTAAGCACGGAGCACGTCAACCGGAAGTGGGGTTTTTGCAACCGGAAGTGTTTTTTGCAACCGGAAGTGGGATTTTTGCATCATTGGGCAGTGGTTTTACCCAAATGTTCGGCAAATCTTCTTTATAAGAGAAAGAACACTTAGCAGCACAATTTTGGTAGCGTTTAGGCATGTTAAAGGGAAAAAGGCATCATTTCCGGTTGACACGCGTCGCTGAAAAACGTCTTTGCTTAAGTTCCCCAATGTCATATACATCTGTAAGAGTTTTTGGAACTCTCCTAACAGTGTTTTGGTGGCGGGAGTTTTGTTGAAAGCTTCGCGTATGGTCCTTATATTTGTAACCTGACGTACTTCGGGCAGCGCTGACAATGTTAGCGAGTTTACGCAACGGGACGGCAGAGAGAAGAGGACAGCAAAACACTTGTGTGTGACAAACGTGACAAGAGCTATTACTTGCGTGTTATGTCGTGATCCTCATTCAACATTAATGTTTTCTGGTCTTTGCAAAAACATCTGTTTAAAGGAAAGTAAAATTTTAGCGTAAAGTTTTTTCAAACAAAATTAATGTCATCACACAAGGTTTGCCATCTTCTTTCCTCTCCCGTCCTGTTGAGTAAGTTCACTATTTTCGGCACCAAAACGTCGAGGGGGGCTGTGCTCCCCCAAATTTTTGTTTGGGGGAATACAGCCCTCTCCTCCCCCCCGCTGATATACTACGTACTTAAAGAATAAGAATTACGCTGATACCTTTGGGTTGACAGCTGGCAATGAAGGAGGGCTAAGTACATTATCCACCTTCAAAACAATACCATTTGATGACTCGTAAGCTCCCACTGCTTTGGAAGCATTTCCGTGACTATCATAAAAATATGTCATATTATTCTGAAAAAAGACAGACAAAATACAAGGTCAAATCAGTTTTGGCCAACGATGAATAATCTGAAATCCATCTCAACACTAATTGTATTATACTAACCATATCATATCTCTAAAATAACTGCGATGAGACAAACAATTCCGCAATTACTTTAACTAGGTTTAACTCATACATAATAAAGACAAAGCAGCTTCAATCTTATTTAGGTGCAGATTACAAGAGCCGTGTCGGCTCGGTTTGCAGAGGTGACGTTAATCCCGGTATTACGTGAAGCGAGTCAGCTACGAGCCGTCATATTTACAGACAGATTTAAAGCAGTGCGCATGAGCAATGTGTAACGTCACTACACGACTACGACGGGAAAATGCCTAATTTCACGTTTTATGGAGGACGTAAACAAGAGATGGCTACATTTTCTTCCTCTTTCTGAACTTCAATATGGTTCTTAGGAATTCGGCCTAAACAGGGTTCACTTGCATTTGGCAAAGCAAATGAGTTGGAGACTCATCGCGATAGAGATTGAAAGAACGCAAATTCACTCTTTAAGCGACGTTTTCGTGGCCGTCGCCGTCGTGGTATCTTAAACTCCCTATCTTAGCAAATGAAACCCATCAGGTTGGGCAACTAGCCTCAGTTCTCTCTCATCCGCAGAGCCCTATTTGTGTCCTAGGGAGACTGGGGAGAGGGGAAAATGAAACGCGCGTGGGACGATGAGTAGAGGAAAGAGTGGAATTTAATGATTGTTTTTTTATTGGTACCTCTTTTTTCACTGTGATAAATGCTCCAAGCAGTGTTGTAAAATTTACAGAGTTTCCCTTAAAGGACATTGTCGCACAACTAATGATGTGGTACTTCAACAGCGTTTCCTCGTTGCTTGATGGAGAGTTCACACTTCGACGCTACGAAGCAAATGAAACGAAGAAAACAGTAAATAACCGGTGTAAACTCAAGTTCTGGATTTTGGCCCGCTAAGCGCGTCTCAACTACACTTAAATTTCTCTTCACGGACAATCCCATTAGACTGACACCTTGCTAAAACGGACACCTTCGCCCTAAAACTACAATCTGAGATCCTGTCTTTAAAGACATTTCTCACGTTTTGCCGACAGTTTTTCCTTGAAAAAGGAGAGAGTAAGTCTTCCCTCCCCACCCCACCCCCTAAAAAGTTTGTGACGCTGCCAAGGCTACCTATAGGAAACAACAATCAAGCCATCTTTTGTTGGGAGAGGGGAGAGAGGTTGGGTGCAGATTTTGATTGCACAAAGGTGTGCCATTTAACGGGACTGTGTCACAGCTGGCAAGCTCATTTTAGGGAGCTTAAAGGCGTTTTTGAGCGACACACGTCAACCGGAAGTGAGACCTTTGTCATTTTAAAGCACCTTGGCGCTACAAAATTTACATTTCTCAGTGTCTTGTTGCCGTTGTGTCGTTGAATCTTAAACTTCCTGTCTACCCTCTATTAATTGACACTCTATGTGGCACACACCTCTTTAAAACGGGCACTAAGCGCCCCGACGAATAAACTGTAGTGGTTTCATTGTCAGTGTTGTGGATCCTTACCTTTCGGCTTCCTAACTGTGATCTAGCCAAAGCAGCGTTTGTTGGAGCCAGAAGATTAAAGTAGCCGTGTGAACCCAAAAGTTTGTCCAGGCCATGTCTCTGAAAACAGGAAAAACAAATTTTTTTTGCTTTTTTCTTGGTTTAAGTATAAAGTCTTGAAGAGAACGATATTTCCGGTCATTCTTAGGTTGAGAGCATAGCAAACGGTGAACGGCTGCTTCGATAGTCGTAAATTTTGCGCCTAAGCTTCCGGTAGGCTTAGGGAGGGCGCATCACCTTATTTCAACAAAGAATTTTAGCACTTCCTTTTTCGAAGCTCAGACGTTTTTTACAGTATATGGGCTTTCTCATTAATTACTTATATTGTGTGTAAGCATTTGTTACCAAGTAAAATGTTTCCGAGAGCGACCAGAAGCACAATTCTTAATTATCAACGTGAAAATTCTTCTCTTCACAATGAAAACGGCTACCCTTAAGAGTGTAATAGGAACATTTTCTATGTAAAAAGGACCGCTACGTTTGTCCTTTCATCTGCGACATTACATTACACACACTTGGTCATCTCTTGCATTCACCCTTTGCTGAAAAATTTATAGTTCTCTCTTTAATAAATAAAATGTACTCCGGAAAATGACTGGAAGTACCAAGAATTTCAACAAATTTTTTCACGAAAAAGCCCAATATTTATTGCACAGAATCCGTATATTCACAAGTTGTGTTAAGACCTTACCCTCAAGAGGCTATCCATTTGGGACAACTCTGGATCAAGCTTCAAAGCCTAGGACATTGCAAATATATAACAAATAAATAATCATTCACAAATATTACCCACGTTCGGCGGGCTTGTGGCAAGTTAAACGGAATCCATTGAAACGTTATTTAAGAATATCATTGGAAAAGATCAATAATAAAAATTATGGTAAATAAATAAATAAATACGTAATTGAAAAATCTTACAGTGCAACGAATCCATCAGGGGTTATCTCGCCTGGAATTTTAAAAAACGTTTTCGCTTTTGATTAACTAACAAACTACCATAGTCAGGCCAGTATTTTGACCTGTGCTTGGCCGATTAATAGAGACTTAGTTTTAGATTCCAGGACGAGAACTACTTCCAGTACGAGATTTGACTTTAAGTTTTTTCGCTTATTCTAAAAACATAGACATCCTGGAACTCTTCATTGTACTCTTCTCACCACCTCTTCCCACCTCAAAAATTTGATAACTTGTTTCCGCCACTACTACATTCTCACTAAAACTCGTTGTAGAATGACGACGACAATCACTTTTTCCCGCCAAAATGATGCTGTTTCACGCGTGAGCACCACTTAGTATTGAGAAAATATCGTACTTGTTGTAGTCGTCCTCGTCTTAGAAATCTAACGGCCTCTAATGTTGAGTAGCCCCGATTGAGGTTGTTGCTCTGTAGGTCTCTGACTGACGAAGAGAACGACCTGATTTAGTGCGTAGCGAAAGTTGATATCATCAAGGGAGGCAAAGTAGTTTTGTTTACCTCTGTGATATCACCGATGCAAGTGAATCCATCACCGACATACTCCTGTCTACAGACGCACCTCCGCTGATACGGTCCCACGAGCCTGCAGTCAGCTCTGTCGCTACAGCCTCCATTATCCTGAAACAATAAATGAATTGAATGAATGAATGAATGAACATAAAACGAACGAATGAATGAATGAAAAGAAGCGAATAAAAATTATAAGATTAAATTAACCACAGAAAAATACGAAAAGAAAATGAAAACCACACACCAACATTTGAAATGCATTAAGAAATAGAAACTTTTTTCGACGGCTTATTGGCCGTTTTCAAGTTAGACTTTTACAAAAGCAGACGATGGAAAAGAACCTTGATCAATAGTTTAAATCAAACAACTAAAACGTTTCAAAAACAATGTGATCAAGACATCTGCAAATGTTACTCAATGACGTACCAAGTTACAAGGGTTGATGCTGACGCAAGAACTCACACCATCGCCTGAATAACCCTTCTTGCAAAAACAATTACTCTAAAACAGAAAAGAAAAAATTAGAAAACCGTTAGGCTTTGTCCGCATTAATGCACACCGAGTTGCTTTTCTCGTCAACTCGATATCGTGTCAATCAAGTATGGCGTGAACAGCAACAACACAGAACTAGAATAAGTCGTTCAAACACATCCAACATCGTAACCGAGCGGTTGGCCGAGGGGGGTTTGGTGAACAAAATCCCAGTCATGAATCCTAAATGTTTACTTCCGTCTCAGTGGATTCCAGTCCTCCTTGCTGCTACTTATTCACTTCCGCTACAGTCCCTGATACCTGTTCACATTACACCGAACCTATCCGATATGTGACACTCCACTTTCGAGATCTGCAAGCTTGTCCATCACGGCAAGGTGATAAGCCCAGGCAGAAGTACACACTTGGAAACAATTTATGTGCTTAAAATAAAACACTTCCAAACAGATCTGGGAGACCCCTAATTATCATTGGTCTCAGTTAAATTTCGTTTAAAAGTAAGTCAGAGTGACGTTTCAACAGATAACACCAGTACTTAAAAGAATGCAATAAAAGCCCACACATCTCCTGGGCTTTTACCAAACAAATGTTTAGGAAACTCCAGGACACACTAATTTGCCTTGAGCAGCGATCATTCTTTTACTGATCATTACCTTGCCAGGTCCAATGTAGGCACAAGTTGCGTTGCTATGGCAGCCTCCATTATTGGTCTGGCAGGGGTCTATTGCTGTTTAAAAAAAGATGGACCATTCAATGAGTTATATTTCTACTTACTTTTGATTTTTGCCATATGGCGCCAACAGTGTCTGGCATGAATTTTACTAGCCCCGCCAAAAATTGGCAAAATTGACCAGTGTAACTTTCATATTGTATGTGAATTAAGACTAACTGGAAAACCACGCGGTTCATTTAGGCTTTAGGCATTTTTTCCTTCATTAATACTTATTTATTTGTTATCTTAAACAATTACTAAAAAACCTTAACTACATATCAAAAAACCACAATGCAACTTAAAAAGATAAGAGAAATGCAGATAAAGTTGTTTGTGTTTTTGTCATATGTTATCAACGGCTAAACACTTTTCGTGTTTTAATTAGTTTTCGTCAACACCAAACGACTTAGTTTCGTTTTTGATTCCTACCTGTTCTTAATTTACCATTTTATTGTTTTTCGAACAGGTTATAAGGCTTTAAAGCTTAGGTACTGTCTTATATCCAGTCTGTGTCACAGTTGCGGACAACCGAGCATTATCGGCGTTCCTTGTCAGTGGTTATCCAGATGAGAATTCACACAGGCATGCGTAGTAATGCTAGTTACCATGCTCTAGAATAAAAAGACAACTCTACCCTAGTGAAGAACCTGTATTAATCACTAACAGCTGAAGAAAACAAACGAGCAGACGCTTCAAACAGACGCTTCCAAGCTTACGGACTGTGAAAATGTTTTATACTAACCTACACAGATAAATCCATCCCCTGTCAATCCATCGTTACACTGACAGGACCTGAAGCCTGGCTGACTCATGTCAATGGAACAAGTGGCATTTCGATGGCAGCCACCATTGTTGACGATGCAGGTGTCGATAGCTACGCGCAACAAACTTCATTAGGGGGTTTTCGCGTTCATAACGATTGCAAGTACAAGAATGAGATTAAGATTAAGCTACTTAGCGCGAGTGCAATTTCAAATCTTGGGGCCGAAGCTCGTTGCACTGGTGGGGCTTTCTTCAAATCTTCCATGCTCAACTCCTCCCTCCAGTCCACAAACAAGGTTGGACGAGGGTATCTAGAGTTTTTCCGAGTTTCAACTTTGTATGGGGGAAGGAGAATTGCTTGATATTTTAGAACTGTTGCACTGTTTTATGAGCGCACACAGAAGCTACAAAAAATTACGAATACTGCATCACTGTCCCAAGGGCGTTAGTCTGGGATTGTAGATATGATGAGTCCATTAATAAAGGTAATAGGGCTATAGTGGCATTTGATCTCAAATCATACGTGTGATTTCAAAACTGAAGGAGCGCGCACCCTAGTTTTTCCACGTGAACAACATGCATCAAAATTACTAGTTAACCTGCACAGTTAGTTCCGTTTCCTGTGTAACCAGCGTCACAATCACATCTCCCGCTACCAGCTGGACCACGGCAACTGAAAAACATCATTACTTCATAGTCAAGTACAACACATACGCATTACAGTCAACCCAGGTCAAGCGTACCCCTCAAGATTCCACTTATGAATTTAGTATTCGAAAGTTGAATCCGTTGTTAGTTGTAGATTTCAGATTCATCCCTGCATTCTTGCATGCGTAATGAGCTGTGAATCCACACGCAAGGCAGTTATGAATTTTCTACCCGCTCAGTCTCCCTGAATTTGATGTAAACGTCTTCGAAGTAATTTTATCCATTTAAAGATTTTCAATCTGAACAAATGCAGATAAGTTCTCGTAAAATATTCACTGGGCATTACGCATACAGGAATGTCGATTTGAATTTGACACCAGTTACGGGAACGACTAACGGGTTCATTTTTCAAATAATCAATTCATTAATAGAATCTTAGGGGGTACGCTTGACCTGCTTTGACTGTAAGAAGACTTGAATGGGTTCATAGTAAACTTACGTGGCAAATCGACTGCAGACAGTTGGAAGGCAATTCTTGTAATTCGCAGCTAAAAAAAGAAAAGAAAGATTTGAGTATAAAATTATTCTTTGCAGTTGTTGTTCAAAACTGATACAGTTAAATAACTACTTGCGTTTGAAGTAGTGCGCTTCCATAATTACAGCCGTGATATTAATGGACGTGAAATATAAATAAACGAATCAAAATTTGATATTACAACGTGAACCTTTTCAGATCTTTTAAAAGAAAGAATTAATGAAAGTGTCAAATATTTAAGTCCAGGTTTAAGTTATAAAGACTGACTGGATAAAGACGAATGGAGATACAAAACAAACCAAGAATCATAATTTCCTTCATGGGACGCAAGGACAATTGCCAATGAATTTTTTTACAGTTACGGTGTAGACTGCAAAACAGTCCGTATTTTAGCGTATTCGCGCGGAAGTCAAACAAAAGGTCTGGAACGAGGCTGAAAACAGAGAGCGAGACTGGCGTGTGAGGCTCGCGCGCTTCGCCTGTGTAAGACTCTTACGCCACGCTTTACCGATTTCTTTCCTGATTTTGAGGAAAAAAAACCGACTGTTTTGCAGTCTAGTTACGGTGAGGCTCAACTTACAAACGTTGCAATTCTTTCCTTTCCAGCCATGATGACAAAAGCAAGTCCCGTCACCGCTGATTCCCTCATTGCAAGTCCCGTTAACACAGTTACACTCTGAAAGGAAAGCGGCGTCTTGTAAAATCCTAAAGGAATTAGTTTCTAAAACAAATTTTGACGCTGAGTGAGTGGCTTTGAAACGGAAGACGAGAGGAGGAAAAGAGTGTGTTTTGAGTGCTTACCCTTCTTGTGTGTTGGAGATGCAAAGCCAGCACTCATTATGTCATTCTCAGTTTTTGAATCGGTTTACGATGGCTATTTCATTGTATTAACTCGGTTAATAACTAAACCACCATTTTTGTTACAAAGGTAGATCAATGTGACTGGATAGAGGTGCCAATAGTTTTCATTTGTTAACTTGAAAGGACACAAGTGAAGCCAAGTCATAAGCTTGGTGTGGGAGGAAAAAAGCGTTTAAGGTAGTTCTCATTCGTCTGCAAAATGATAATGCAGTGCAACAGAGTTTTGAAACACGTTTCTATTTTTGTGGTCACCAAACGCTTTTACAACACATCGGGCCGACAAGTCACGGTGTGTAAAGCAGCCGTTACTTTGAAGCCGTTGAACCAAAATAACAATTCGATTTGCGCACTTACCATTGGTACAATTAGTTCCATATTTCCCAGAAATGCACTTTTCACAGGCGGTGCCAGTAAAGTTGGCCGAACATTGACAGTGTCCACTGCCTGATTTTCCATCATCGCAAACGCCATTACTGGAACAAGCGTCGCTCAAATTACCAGGACAAGCTAAAACACACAGATCCACACAACTCAGCGGTAAGGAAAGAAGACGAGCGTGACCGTCGGTGACTTGACCATACTTATTGTGTATTAATCTCCCGTTTATAACTGCCCTATCTTGCTAGCCCCATATAGTTATCTGAAAAATGTCACAGCACTTTTCGCAGTTATATTACGGATAGAGTACTTCGCAGATCCAATCTATCATTGAGAGAAAAGGGACGAGAGCATAATTTGGAACCTGGTATGTCATTATGGTTAAACTTTTCATACTGTTAATTTTCTTTGTTTGCTTTGAGATGAATGCATAATTAATCACTACAGTAACAGCCCAACTCTCTCCCTGTATCGTATAATTATATTTAGGTCATCGCCTTACATTGACAGTCCACTCCCCAGAATCCAGAACAACACTTCTTAATCTGCCAAAACACAAGATATCATCAATGTTTCATTAATACTTCTTGGGCTCATCAAAACTCGATGAAGAAAAACCAGTGGAAATCGTCACCGCCAAGAAGGGTTCGCTGTTGGATTCTAATTGGCAAAGATTTCAAAGCTTTCTCTTAAGGATGGGCACCGAGGATTTCCCCCAGCCACAAGAAAATCGAACCAAAAGAACCCCCTAGCTGTTAAAATTCCCGCCCACAAATTGCATATACCCGGCAACCCGATATCTTGTGATTGTCCTATAAAACAATTTTGTTAACGTTATCAAGACTAGCGGATGACAAAAGAGTACAGAATTGATGACATAATTGCCTTTACTTTTTCATTTGCTGGCGTAACGGGGACCAATAAAATGCGAGCCATGGTACATGCCTTAATAAGTAACCATACTAACGTACAAAATGCGTGTCTGTGCAGCTTACCGTGGTTGTTCTTAGGCATATTGCTCGACAGCCAGGTAAGATAAACCATCCTAACCGAATCCTGCAAGCATTTTGCCGAACGCCCTATAAAGAAATAAATATAGAGGAAGAAAGGATTACATTGTCCAAAATGACATACAATCTGCGTTTTAAGTAAATACTGGCAAACCTTACTCTGATGAACGTCCACTTTCTATTTACAGGCCACTTACCAGATTACTGGCGCGTAACATTGTCAGTTAATAAATGGAAACGGCGCCTCTATTGGCCATTCTGAGTTTGCGAGTGAGACTTAACGGTTTTAAGTCCAGTTCCACTATGGAATCGTTTTGAAGTCGCCTGCACTTCTTTAATCAGCTGTTATGAGCTTGCCCTGGGAGCTGGGTCCAAATTCATTCCCCAGAACAGTCCCACAGTGCAACTGGACACAGCACTAACCCAGTCTCACGCAGCCAATCAACAGGCCCCTTATCCTCTCTTCGAGAATGGTCCGCCGCTTAAAAGCTGTTCAACAGTAACTCTATACACGGGTGAAGTAACTCCATCCGGGTAAATCGAACTTAAAGGGGCTGTGTCACGAATTATATCAAAATTAAAACAGTGCGAATTGACGTCAAACTGAGTGAAATAACCGCTCAAAACGTTACAAGAAAGTATGAGTAACATGACACCTACAAAAGGAGCCTAACAGTTCAATGAAATAATCCTTGGGAGACATACATGTATTTCTTTGACGTCAAGCTGTGATTTGTCACTTTCAAGTACAGTCGACTCCCGATAATTCGAACCTTCAAGGAAAATTAAAAAAAAGGGGTAGAAAGCGAGCCGAAGGGAAATGAAAATTGTTTCGACTTAGCGGACGGTTCGAGTTATAGAGGGTTTGAGTTACCGGAGGTCGATTGTAATTCCTTTAGTTCCATATCGACGAATAAGGACGCGTAACTGGCATCATAAGCCAACTATATTATCAACATAAGACAAAGGTATGGTACTCACGACTTTAGTAAGCCCACTACCACACCATGGATTAAATATAGGACAGTACGTACAGTATCCCTAAAAGAGCAAAGGGAGAACAAAAGAAGAAGTTCATTAAAAAGCCAACCGCAGGGGCGGATCCAGGATTTTTTTTAGGAGGGGGTGCACTCGTCTCTTGCTCTACTTCAACACCAATAAACCACATAGTTTTTTTTGCAGAATACCAGTTGTATTAGAAAACCGCAGATCGTCTCGGGGGGGGGGTGCGCACCCCCTGCACCCTCCCCCTAGATCCGCCCCTGAACCGGGAGCTTAAGCAACGACAACGACGAGGACAACCACAATGACGACTTCAAAAAAAAATTGGTTTTATGAGCTAGACATCACGCTTTTTAGTACATTTCTTTGCACGTCTGCACTGCACGACTACGACGTGAAACCGCCTAATTTGACGTTTTATGGAGGGCGTGGACATACGACGACGAATTCTCCTTTCTCTTTTTGAACTTGGATAAAGACCTTAAGAATCCAATTTGAAAGGACACAAATTTACTTTTTTGCGACGTTTTCAGTGCCGTTGTCGTCGTCTTTGCTTAAGCTCCTTAATAGGGACTTTAAGATCCAACGACGCGACGGCCACGAGAACGTCTCTTAAAAAAGTGTGTTTGCGTTCTTTCAGTCTTTATAGCGATTATTCGTACCCAATTACTTTGTCAAACGTAGGCGAACCCTCCTGAAGCTGAATTTCAAGGGACCATATCCAAGCTCAGAAGGAGAAATAAAATTTCGTCGTTGCTTGTTTACGTCCTCCATAAAACACGAAATTAGGCATTTTCACGTCGTAGTCGTGCAAAAACGGGAAAGAAATGTACAAAAAGTGTGATGCACGTGCAAAGCTGTTGTTTTGTTTATAAAACCTATTGTTTTTTAACGTTCTCGTCGCCGTCCGCGTCGTTGGCTCTTAAAGTCCCTAATATCTCAGTGAAACGACTACGCAGCGATAGACCTCTTTAGCTTGAAGGTTTATTCCAATGAAGGTCCCATGGGAATATGCCCCTTTGTCTTATCATAAATTATGCGTAGATATGCAAGTGAATAAGACGAAATTTAAAAGAAAGTGTTCTTAAGAGTTTACTATCACTTAAAATACTGACCTGCATTAGGGGTCTTTTAAAATGTTTAAAAATACAAGTATGTCTAAAAGAAGTCCTGTTATCGATTGTATATGTTAGTATTAGTTCATTTGTATCAGTTATGTATGGTTCCCTAAAGATTAAAATTAATAAATATTATAATCATTAAGACTAAGTGACTTACAAGAGAATAATAACGTCTAATCTCGTCACAGTTCCTCCGTACTGGTTCCAGAACTCCATTTATTCCAAATACCATTGCTTTCCTGGCCTTTTGTCCTTTAATCACCACTTCAATTCCATTGACTCTAAGCTGAAAGACAACAGACACATCTGACATAAGCTACCCCTGTAAGAAGAATTGTTAAAGCGAGTGTGCTATTTTAGAACGAGAAATGTTCCCTGAACATAAAAAAATTCTTGATGAATAACTGAGTGAAACTGCCAACAATGGATTTTATTTCGTGTGTGAACTATTGGCTTATATCACTTGTTTTAATTTTTTAAATGAGTACTAGTGAACAGCACGAACCAACACAAAAACAGCAAAAAGAAAATCACAAAATAAACGTGCTGGGTGACTGAAAATTTGTTAATTAAAGTTCAAAACGTTAAAAGTGAAGGTTTTGATTCCGATGATGCAATCCGTTAGTAAGGACCACTCCTAAATATCGGGTGGAACGCGGTAGGTGTATTGACTGCAACCAGAGGTCATTCTACTAACCATTCCCTGTCCGGGTTTGGTCACTTTGACAAGAAAATTGTCCCCGAGCCAAGAGGAATATTCTTCTCCGTTTCGTATCGTTTCCTCCGAGAGATACTGCTTCACAACATGGTACTTCAAAGTGTCGGCAGACTAAAGAAATTGAAGCAAGAGGGATATACAGTGATAATAAATCGTTAACTTGTACCACTTAGCTATTTAAGTATGCAAAATAAACTTTTTACGTCACGACCGCGGATATCATCTTTATCAAGAAAATTCCCTGTTGGCTATTTCGCAGTTAACGTCAAGAACTTAACTTTCGTTTTATTCTGCGGCAATTCTTTTCGGTCAAAAGATACGATAGAAAGAAAGATGAAATTTCAAATTTCTTCAGCGACAGCCGGTACACGACTTGATCATCAGAAAAGCTTCTGAAAAAAAAATACAAAGAGCTATTTTTCCTGTCTAGGTGTTAACGCAGGAAATGAGATTCCTTGGCACGTAAGATAGCTACGAAAAACTTCTTATTTTAAAAAGCAAGTTATCCGGGGCGCTGCGGTGGCGCGGCGGGAAAAGGAAGGAGAGCTTGCAACTACGTTTCTGGAATTCCCTGTGGCTCCCTGTCGACTGAGCTGTCAGATTCCCGCCAATCAGCGCGAAACGGAAACGAGCGCGAATGTAAACAAACATTGAAAAACACGTGCCAAGGGTAAATTTGCCAATAGGAAAACTCTAATATGAATTCGCTTGTACATGGAGTTGATGGAAAAAATAAAGAATATTCAAACTTCCCCTTTTAGGACACTCGAGACAAACTGTGATGCACAGGACCAAGAAGTCCCGGTTTGACGCAGGTGTGAAGTGTACCGTAAATGATCTTATTGATGCCCCCCTCTCAAGTCAACGCCTCCTGCTCTCTGTATTATAGACACCCATAAGAAAGTTGCACCAAAATGCTAGGAAATAGCAAAAGCGATTAAAATAATTGGATTCGTGCAGTTTCTTGCTTGAGAGACAAGCTTAAGGCTTTGTGCATTGCTTGTACCTAGATCATTTGGTGGCGAGCTACCGTCCGGTTTCTTTAATTTAATTTTTTTCTCTTTAATCAGACGATGATTTGGAATTGTACCAAGGAATAGCGCAGTTCAATGCTGGAATTGGAGGCACCGATGAACACACACATAGATGGTATGTGCATCGGATGGACGCCGGACACGATGATCAGGAATTAACAGCCAAAATAAGGGAAACGTGTTTAAAAAGGTGGGTGGTTCTGAGCGCAATCCCTGCGGGGGCAACAAGTGCCAAGGTAAAAAAAAAAATGAAAAGAAAAGAGAGGAGGGTACAACGTCGGCAATGGCGTGTGAAAAAAACAACTACCCATTTTATGTCACATGACTTGTTCCCAGGCCCCACTTGTGTGTGAGAAAAACTACGTTTTATCTTGAGTCTTACCAGGTTGTTATTCTTGAGTGCAGCGTTTGTGGGAGCAAATACTGTACAGGCATCGCAGGCGTCCAGCAACGACAACAGCTGCAGGCTCTACAAAACAGTTATGCAGCATTAGTTCCAAAAAAAGGTCCTGCTGAGCGGATTTCAGCTGACACTAAGAAGTGTGGATATCAGAATACTGTAAAATGCCAATTATACACTCAACGCTTAAACAACTTTTCAACTCTTTCACTCCCAGAATACGAAGAATTATCTTTGTCGAAGGGTGCTTTCCATTTGTCAGAACTGTTCGGCCAGCCCGTCGTAATAAGAATTTCACTTTTGATCAAAACTCACCATCCAGACCAGTCCAAACCTAAACATTACGCACAAAGGAGATAAGTTTTTTCAGCAAAACATCTTGGAAAAAGACTATTTTATGGTCAGAATGTCTGGTTCGGCCATGGTCCAGCCAGCCAGTTCTGACTTTTGGAAAGCGCCCTTCGAAGACTACCCAATCATCTTCAAAACTTTCATTTATTTCGCTATACCTTCGTTACAGTCGGTTACATCGCTTAATTCCACAAAACACAAAGCAATGACCAGAATCGGAAGCAAAGCCTGAATAAACTAACTGATGTCACATGATGTCATCCCTCTTTTTTAATTCTTTATTTGTCCCAGTCTCTAGGACATTTGTGAGAGGAAAAAGCAGATTTTATAAGGCCAAATTCAAGAAATTTTGAGGGAGACATTTTTTGAAAGTTCACATGTGTTAATTAAACTCATCTAATACACGAAAATCAGTTTAAAAAGATTCCGTGTCATATACACTTAAACAGAACAGCACGGTACCTTTAAGATGATGTAGAAATCAGAAAACTCCGATATATTCTTAAGAAGTTCTGAAGTTAAAGGAAGTTGATTTTCAGTGGACAAACGTGGAGGCAGAAGAACCTAAACAAAATAACGCAAGGTCGATTATTAGCTGAATTGCAAAGAGTTAAAACTCAAAGAAGCGCCAAACGATAACAGAGAGCTTTAGATCTGGAGACGAGGACGACATTTCATTTTAAGATTTCTCGACTATTCTCTAAGAATAGACATCCCGGAAAGCTTCATTATCCGTTTTTAACCAAAAAAGTAAGTACGCTTATTACCGTTGAAGATGGTGAAGCCCTCTCCCGATCGCTGAATGATAAAATTTCTAACATTTGGTAACTTGCTTTCGCCACTACGACACTCTCGCTAAAACTCGTAGTCGAATGGCGATGGCTGCCACATTTTCCCGCCACGATGACGTTGTTTCGAGCGCGCGCACTACTTAGTATTGAGAAAATCTCGTTCTCGTTGTCGTCCTCGTCTTAGCCTCTAAAGCTCTCTATTAATTTGCGGGACGCTTCCTAAATTCCCACCGTCACTCTACCCCCCCCCCGTGTGGTGGTAACTTCCTATAATAGCTTATACGGGATAGCTCCGCCCGAAGGGGAGGGAGGGGTCTTTAGACTACTCCCCAGGCTTTTCCGTTCGATTTTTGCTGAGAATACCCTGAATCGCAGAGGTAACGTGCAACTGTTTTCTACAACAGATGACTATTAAAAGAAAAGAAGTCGAATTTTCATTTTTAAAAAAATGTGGCTATGTAACAAGGGCTTAAGTTACTTAAGAAAGAAAACGAGAAAACGGACATTTAGGAGAGGTGGCTATTGAAGAACGAAGATGGAATTTTAAGGAGACAGTTGGTTGTTTAAGGGAAAAAGGGCCATTTAAGAAGAAAGGTCGCTGTTAAAACAATACGTTAGACTTGAGCAAAAGACTGAACTTGTCTAATTTAAAAAAAAAATACGTTACTTCTCGGTGCCTTACTTTATTGATGATATGAACAAATCCATTTTCCGTGGTGACATTTGCTTGCACGACTTTTGCTGAATCACCAATATAAACCTGAAAAAACGCAACTTACTTGAGTGTCAATGTATTTCGCACAAAAGTACTAAATTAAAGAGACTGTATTTACGTCCCCTCGTGGACACGGAATTGCCATTTCCAAGTAACCATCTGAGCACGTGAAGATCACGTGAAGATTTCGTTGTTAGATATCAAGTGTCTTTAAAGTTAGCCTCTGGCATAGCCCTGCGTAACTGGGTGGAAAGGCCGCGAGGAGAATGGAGCGAAAACAACGAGAAACTCGCCGCTGACCTCGCCGCTCATTTGCCCTCTCGCTACGAGCACTGGGGCGAGCACTATTGGCGGAAATTTCAGCCAGGTAAAGCCCCAGACAAACGGACGCAACACTGTTGGGCGTTACATGTTGCGTCCGTGTTGTTGGGAGTTGCTGTGCAAAGTTTGAAACTGGTCAAACTTTTGAACCAACAACTCCCAACATTTCTTAAATTCTGTGATAACCGAAGCGTAGTATAACAACTTGACATCCGTTTGCACGGCTCCTTCAACATTGTTGGGGCCTCGCAAGAGCTAGGATGGCTGTCGAATTCAAGTTTACAAAGTCTTATGGGTTGTTTCCTTCCCACGACGCACTGCAGGTCCCAACATTGTTGGGAGTTGTTGCATCTGTTTGCACACCACTGCCAAAGAGGACGCAACAACTCCTACCATTGTTGGCATCCATTTACACGTAGCTTTATTAGTACACTTCATACCATTTGTACCCGTGTAGTTATGTTCAGCGTAACACCATTGGAAGCACTGAATGCATTCATTCCCTTCAGCTGCTCTAGACTGTACGACTTATCTACAAGATGGTACCTATATTAAAAAAAAAAAACAATAAGCAATCTTGAAAAAAGACAGAAGTTCATGATAAATAGGCATCGCTAAGTTCGACTGAACGAGGGCTTCTTGGGAAAAGCAAATCAGACCAAGGGATTAGCGGCAATTTATGGCTCCACGCGGGACTGGGTCCATGCTGCGTCGAATTGCATTATGGGGACGCTATCGAGGTCGCACGGAAAACTGGGAAAATTCTTCTAAAAAAAAGCCCCATGGTGCCCCCATTTCAAACACCGAAAAGAACATAACGGATTTCTTAAGCATCAAAACTCAAAAAACGTTTAAATTTAAAATTCTCGCCATTTCTTATCCTGTGCTTTTTAACTTCATTGTAAAAACTAAAGGAACTCACCTTATCAGATATTCCAGCCTTTCCGTACTGTTGGTCCAATATTGTTTGTCCGCGTCAGAGAGCAGAGATAATGCAGTGACGGACGGCGCAAAAAGTGTCAAATTTCTTGCGGGGTCTGACAAATAATGCAGCAGATTTGCTTGCTGAATTAAAAAGAGGAAAAGAAATGTAAGTTAATGAATTTCGTTTTAGCGTTTTCGTGCGGACGGGAGAGCGAATACGCTACTTGTGCACGCGCATTTTTTCGCAAACGGAGGGGAAAAAATCCCCGTTTTCAAACATAATCGAATACGTATGGACGGGGCCTGGGTCCGTGTTGCGTGGAATTGCATTGCGGGACTGTTTTGTGACACATTTTGACCCAGTTTCTGCGCAACTTTCCAACAGCCAATAAAAGAAGCGATAGCGTCCCCCAAACAATCCAATAGTGCAACTCGACTCAACATTGACCCAGTTTCATCGCAACCTGTAAATGACAAACAGCCCAATTTTTTTTTTTGCAGGGAGTGAGAAATTGTCCAACAAGCGTTAGGTGGCGTGGGAACGAAGTTGTCCGTCCTCGGGGGGGGAGTAACTAGGCAAATATACAATCTAGTTATTAACTTACAAAACAGATTAAAAATGTAAATATCATTACCCTTATGAAGTTTTCCAGACGCGGATTCATCCTTCCAATGATCTACAAGAAAACAAATATTTTTGAGAATGACGATACTTATATCTTCTTCTGCAGGTCAAGTCAACTGTCAAGTACTTTACATCCAACAGGAAAGGAAAAACGTTTCTTTCACTTCCCCCCTGTCAATAGGATTTTTGTGGGTGTGCATAAAATTCCTAGGTTTACGAAGAACATTACTTTCCTGTGGTACTGTTTATTATGCTGTACAAGGTGGTTCTAACCACTGAGTTTGTGGATGAAATCCTAAAGTGTTACCACTCAAATGAAAGATACTGAGCAGTTAACTTTCCTGTGGTACTGTTTATTATGCTGTACAAGGTGGTTTTAACTTTTGAGTCTGAGGATGAAATCCTAAAGTGTCACCATTCAAATGAAAGTTACTGAGCAGTACTTTCCTGTGGTACTGTTTGTTATGCTGTACAAGGTGGTTCTAACCACTGAGTTTGTGGATGAAATCCTAAAGTGTTACCATTCAAATGAAAGATACTGAGCAGTTAACTTTCCTGAGGTACCGTTTATTATGCTGTACAAGGTGGCGTTTTTAACATAATACCATTTGTTTACCACTACTTTGCTTAATATATTTCTGGTCACTTTTAAACTGGATTTCTTTGTATTCCTAGGGAGTCAACAGTTAAGGCCACACGCGAACTGATTAATAACTATTTCTAAAGTAAGTTGAGCCATATTGGCAACCGTCTTTTGAGTTCTATTGGGCTTTCGTAGCACATCAAGTTTACTCGCTCTAACCGTACACAAAATTGACTTCCACGTTCCGTTATTAAAACAGCAATTTACCGTTGCAACAGATCCCAAACAAAAGTAGCCATTTCCTATGAAGCCAGTGTTACATTTGCAGCTGTGATTTCCTGGCCCTGTACGAACACACTGAGCCTAAAGTGGAAAAAAAAACAAACACTTTTTAAGTGCCTTGAGTAAACGCAACAAAATTACTTGTTTGTGATTTGATTTTTCTTGACGATTAACTCGTGTGGCTAGTTGGTCGCTTGGTGGTAGGTCGGTCGTTCGGTCAGCACGCTAGTTAGTTACTTACATGCTAAGTGTAGGCAGACAGGAAGTCAGTCAGTCAGTTAGCTCGTTAGTAAGTCAGTCATTCAGTCGGTCGGGCACTCAGTTAGTTAGTCAATGACGGTAGTCAGTCAGTCACTCACTCAGTTATTTAGTAAGTCAGTCGGACAGTCAGTCACTTAGTCATTTAGTTAGTAATCAATCAGGCAGTCAGCTAGTCAATCAGTCAGTTTGTTGATAGTCGGTCAGTCAGTTAGTCTGTTAGTTAGTTTACTAGTTAGTCAGTCAGTAAGAAAGTTGTTGTTAGTCAATCAGTCAGTTAGTCTGTTAGTTAGTTAGTTTACTAGTTAGTTAGTCAGTCAGTAAGAAAGTTGTTAGTCAATCAGTCAGTTAGTCTGTTAGTTAGTTAGTTTACTAGTTAGCAAGTCAGTAAGAAAGTTGTTAGTCAATCAGTCAGTTAGTCTGTTAGTTAGTTAGTTTACTAGTTAGTAAGTCAGTAAGAAAGTTGTTAGTCAATCAGTCAGTTAGTCTGTTAGTTAGTCAGTTAGTCAGTCAGTTACAAATCGTTACTTAGTCGGGTCTTCCTCCTCTAGTTTGTCCGTGTTGTGGCTACCACAACCAGCTTCGACGCCTCCTTCCCTTTGTGTCTAACAAGGTGCAAAATCCCTTGATAAATAACCAAATTGTCATAAAGTAAACTCCCCGCAACAATTTGTCCTTCCTTCTGAAAAACTAGCCAGCGAATACTGCCGCCCCTCATCGCTCTAGTCCATTGGGGACATCTGTACTCGTACGCTACTGAGAAACGCGAGGAAAATTGCTTACATCAGGAGAACATCCTCCATGATTCACCAAACAGTAATTGACTTCATTGCACGACGAACCATCACCGGTGTATCCAGGCTTACAAACACAAGTGCTCTGCAAAACACAATTGTACCATGACAATGCCGTAGCACTGTAACAAGCTCACTATAGAAGACAGAGCCAGAACTCTATCCATCGTGGCCAATAAAAAAGGGCAATCATGGCGCAAGGCTTTTGATCCTCCGTCACCAGCAGCTGATTAGGGAGCGTGGGCAACGATCAAGGTGACGGCAACGATGACAGGAAAAAAGCAATAGGTGTAAAAACGAAAAAAAACTTTGCACGTGCATCACGCATTTTTGTACATTTCTTCTATCTTTCTTTATCTTGAACTACGATACAGTCTTTCAGAATTCAACTCCAGAAAATTTTGGCGACATTTGAAAAAATGGGAAAGATGGGATAAGCGCGATAATGGTTTTACACTTTTTTGTTTCACTTTTTAAGTGACGTCTTCGTAGCCGTCGCCGTCGTTTTTGCTTGGGGTCCCTGTTTTCACGGACAGTTCGCTTAAATTGGACGTTCAAACTATCAGTGTTATTGCAAAACAACAACAACAAAAAACAATTAGACCAGGCACCATTTCAATTTGTCCTACGCCAGGGAAAACGCAACAGAGTAAAATAAATCCAAGCAGCGTTTCGAGATTTCAGTCGAGAAACTGAGCCGCACTATAGACTCACCTGACCAGGGCCTATATACCGGCATTCAGCGTTGCTATGGCAGTACCCAGCACCTTTTTCCTGGCACGGATCTATTGCAACGCATACGACGCCGTCACCACGGAAACCATCCTGGCATGTACAGTTATTAGCACCAGGCCCCGTCATGGTGCAGACGGCCTCGTGATGACATCCTCCCCGGCTGGGTTTAGTGCACGGGTTGATCTCAGTGCAGAATGTTCCAGAACCTTCGTACCCAGCATTGCACTGACAACTGCGGAGTATAATGGTTAAACGATCGAGGTTATATTCACACTTGATCTGACAACTCTTACGCCGGCACGAAGACATACCGGTTAATGCTTCTGTTCACACGTACGAAGGTTGACTATGACGCAATTTCTGCAACGGACCGAAGCTGCGCCTTGTGCTTGCGCATGATGTTCAAACAAGCCCCTAAAGCGCCATCTTTGTGCGCAGAACTATGGTATACGTATGCTTATTTGGATCAGGACGAATGGCATCAATGCCAGTACCTATGGTGCAAATGCATGCAAATAGAAGAAAGGACCGGAATCCACTAAGACGGAAGAAAATATTCAGGGCTGAGGACTGGGATTCAGTTCACCAAACCCTTTCGCCCAACCGCTCCGGTGCGATGTTCGATGTGTGTGAACGACTTGTTTCAGTTTAAACTCGCTACTGACGAACAGAGAACTATTCTGTAAAGTACTTGTGTTTAATTTTAGGACGACTGTTTGTAAGCTCAGTTACATTTGTGTTGCTCTCAACCAAATTTTTTTAAATCGCGTAGTGTTTTCTAGTGCATGTTGTACTGAAGGATGTCTCCATCGAACAAATATTTTTTTCATTACAAAGATAGGTAAAACCAGGTTACTACAAAACAATGTCCCCAATACCTACCTGTCAACATTTCCTTGCCGGACACACGAGGCAAACACGTGACACCTGAGGCTTATCGAAGGATCAGCACATGGAACATCTCGCTGGTCACAGTTGTCTCCATGGAAACCAGGTGAGCATGAGTGCGGTACACATGTTCCATTTCCCGTGGGGCCATTGTCGCACTTGCCATGTAAGCACGTGCAAGCTGAAAAAACCAATCAGAGGAAATTAGTCGCGTTGGAATAACCCCTTCAGTATCGGCCAAACGGAGAAACGTTTTCATAAGAAGAATGACAAGAGTGATGTTGTTATAGGTCATTAGAGAGCTAAAGCAAAAAAAAAATAGATCCAAGTGAAAACGTCCCTAAAAGTAAATTTGCATGAAACTGCACTGCAATAGTCTAACTGGGTTAGTTTGTCATATGCAACAACTTTTGACAACTTTTTGACAATCGGGTTCACGTACTTAATAATGCACCGCATGAGGAAATTTCATGTCGTAGTAAGTTGTATGGAGGAAGTGCAGGTTTGTTGTTTTGATCATTAAAACTTCCGTGTTGGCACTGTTTTTACTGTCGTAGTAGTAGTCGCTTAGCTGTACATTGCGATCTGATCGTGACTGACAGAAAGGGGTGGTGGAAATGAAGGTGTTGATGACAGCGATTGTGGTAATGTTGTTCAAGAGAATGATGAGGATAATGACGAAGACGATGCTAATGACCGGGAGTTTAGGGTGGGTTCGTTTGGATCAGGATCAGTGATCCAATAACTATCAGAACATAGTACATCAAATGAACCGATGAATCCCTTCCCAGAGCGGATTCTTTCCTTTGATGAAGTATTAGGGAAGTTAAGCAAAGACGTTTTTGAGCTACGCACGTCAACCGGAAGTGAGGCCTTCTCCCTTTTTATCTACCTTGAGGCTAACAAATTTGTATTGCTAACTTTCTTTTCTCTTATAAAAAGACGACCAAACCACTGCCCAATGATGAGAGTTTCAACGTCCGTCGCTCAAAAACTAATGCCCAATGATGCCTTAACTCTAAAAAGTCCACTTTCCGGTTGACGTCCGTCGCAATGATCAAAAACTCTGTTGACGTCCGTCGCTCAAAAACTCTGTTGCTTAAGCCCCCTATTATCTAAGTGATTTCGGATCACTGATCCTGACCGGATCATCCCAGTGCATTGTTCCCTTAGCAAGGATCACAGTGATTAACAATGATGATGATGATGATGATGACAGACACGAGGATTAACATAATGAAAGCGAAAATTTAATCGCAGTGAAGGAATTAGCCATTTTAACGATGGCAAATCATTTCGGCGATGAAATTAAGACAAAGATAGATACTCGCCAATGTCGAAGTTGGCGACAAGAAAGGTGACAGTACAGATGATCATTACTGGACTAATTAATTATGTTGGTGATGGTGGTGGTCTTATGGCGTGACAGTGATAGTAAGGATATAAGCATGAGAAGATATAAATGTCATACTTTGGTTGCAAGATGGTCCAAACTTATCGTCTCGATCGCATAGCTCACAAGCTGTTCCTTTAAACATGGGTTGACAAATACAGCTCCCATTGCCTCTGACTCTATCAAAACACTAACAAAGCAAAAAGATGATAAGAAATATCAGTAACTCCAAAGAAATTGCTTTTAGGAGAGCAAGGGTGCCACAGTGGTGAGAACACTCGCCTCCAACCAATGAGGCCCGGGTTTAAATCCAGGCGTCGAAGCCATATGTGGGTTGAGTTTGTTGTTGGTTCTCTCATAGCTCCGAGAGGTTTTTCTCCGGGTACTCCAGTTTTCCCCTCTCCGTAAATACAAAACACTTCCAAATTCCAATTCGATTTTGAACGCTCAGACACGCTTAAACGAGTTCTTAGGAACGGAACTCCTAAGCGCTCTGTGCGTAAACAAATTAAGATACACGGTACAATACAATTCAATGGACGCCACGCACTTGCTTCATGACTACTGGCAATGATGCTATTCAACCAATTAAGCCGACGTATACCACAGTTCTACGCACTAAGACGGCACTTTAGGGGTTATTTGAACATTCTACGCGAGCACAAGGCGCAGCTTCCCTCCGCTCCAGAATCAAGCCAAAAGCACCGTCCGTATGTGTGAACAGAATCCCTATCCGGTTAAGCTCTCTTATCGTCGCAAGAGCTCTCCATTTTAGTGTGAACATAGCCTTAGGGCCTGTTTACATGAGGGTGGAGGACCCCAGGTAGATGAGGTAACCCGCTTAGGTGGGGTAACCAGCCTGTACATATAAGCTCTCATTTTTAATAGCACACATTTACATGACAGGTGGGGTGACCCACCACATGTTACCTCACCTGTCTGGGGTCCCCCACCTCCATGTAAACAGGGCCTTAGACTTACAAGCCACGAACACTTGCACCATTGATTTGTATCTATATCTATATGCACAATACCTTTCCATTGCCATTACAAGCATTTCCAAACGGTCCGGGGCATGGATGACAAGGGGCTCCATAATAACCTGCACAGCACTCTGGCACCTGTTATGAAGGCAAAACAGCTTTACCTGCACCCTTTAAGCCCCAAGAGTGATCAATGTCACTTTTCTCCTCACAAAATCAATCCGTAATCAAAAAAAAGATTTGCGAGAATTAACTAAATGATCAACTAAGGCAAAATGCTTTGATCTTTTATCAAATTCTGGCCACTAATTCTTAATAGAAAAATGTATGGAGATCAGTTTGGAGAATTTGTATGTGAATAATGAGACTTAAAGGGTAAAAGGACTTAACACACTTTTCTCGAAAAGAAGAATTCCTAATGCATTATCACTAAGAGACAAAGTGCTGCCCTTCCAAAAACTAGTTCAGACAAAAATTTCAGAAGCAAATTTCCCAGTCGTTTCTTACTTGCCGCGAAACAGAAAGACCAGAAAAGACGTCGCAATCTTTTCCGGTGTCTTGTTTTTCAGTGCACGGTTTTCTACTCAATTGGAAGTGAAATTTCACTTTTTTGGTATGCTAACACACGGAAGAGAGAAATCGATATTGAAAATTTTTTGGTTACCCTTTTCAGAGCACAGTGTAGATTCTTTCAAGCAAATAAATAAAATTCCGTCATATACACTTTAAGCTATTACCTCAATAGAGCATGTGCTTGCTGTACAACCAACATATGTTCCGACAAGGAAGCCACCTTGCATAAATAGTCTGTAAAGGCATCTTGAGGTCGTGTTCTGAAACATAAGTACTTTCTAAGTACCACTAGAAAAAATACTAAAGCCTCTTTCATAGGGAAGGTGTCAACGGATTCAGACGTAACCTGACTGGATATTGAGAAGTTACTTGACTCTGCCAGGGATTTGAGAAATGAACAGGCCCGTAGCCAGGATTTTTAACGGGGAGGTGTGATCCAACGAGGAGGCGGGTTGGGGGGAATTAGGTTACCTGAGACTGCATTTCGAGCATTTTGAAAAACTGGGTATTTCTCAAACTTTTGATCTTCAATAATAATTTTTTTTTTTTTAAATAGAGTATTTTATTTGACACTTTTTTTAGAATGCAAATGCAGGATGTTACTATTCAAAAACAAACAAAAGTAGAAAGAAAGTTGTAAATCCGTATTATTCGCTAGGTTTGATGCATGATGCTTGCATCATGATCTTTGAATAGTGAAACAAGCTCAAACGTCCTTGGGTGGGGAAGCGGGGACGGGGTGGTCAACAAAAAAATGTGGACCTCTGGGGTGCGAGCGCACCCGTCCTCCCCCCCCCTCCCCTCCCAACCGGCCTGATGAAATTCATAAAAGGTAAAGATAATGGAAATAGTCCTTATTTTCCGTCGGCAACTCGTAACAGTACTTCAACTGACAAAGCTGAGGCCGGCGGTGCGCTCATTTTACACCCCTCTCTCCATCAGTGCACCATTTTACGGGTATTTAAAGCTACACGGAAAGGAAAGAAGTCGAAACAGAGGTTTGAGGTAACACCTCGGAATTGTATTCGGAAACTCCCGCGCACTAACCCACTATGCTACATGTTGGTTCAGCTCGCAGAGCTGAACGTTCAACGGCAGTGACCATCGGTCTACTTCACTGAACGTGGGACTAACACGCTGCAATATACTGATTATATATGCAGTTTTCAACCACGTGTTCAGTAGCTATACAAACGTCTTGGACCAAAAGAAAGTTTTTGCACGAGAAAAGAGTTCAATCCCCACAAGACCATCGTTGTAAACCAACATGGTCACCATTTTGGTACGACAATATAATCGTAAAACCGACATATAGTTAACTTCCGCTTACAAGCCCTGGGCTTTTACGACTCCGTAAGGGGTTTAGGCGGGCTTATAAACGGGGGGGGGGAGGGGTGTACTTACATCCGGGAGGCTTTATAACAGGACTAAAAAACTTTTTAAAACAAGCTGCATAGCAGTGATGATTAAAATACACTATGAAGTTACTCACTTTTTATAAGCTTCAAAACGTCGCAAAAACTGAATTCATTTGAATACAAGCTAGAAAGGAACTTATACCCAGGGGGGAACCGCGTATTTCTTTTTTCGTTACAGGTTGATTGACCCATTACTGGGAGAAGGGGGTTATAAGCGGAAGTCTAAAGGTATTTTTTTTACTAAGATTTAGGACTTACAGATGGAGAATAACCTCTTGGACATCCCTTAGTGGGCAAGGCTTGGACAGCAGAACAGCGGTAACAAATGCCCTGTTGAAGAAGCATACTGCAGGTTTTTAATTAAGAGAAGGGCTGAAATAATTAGGGAAAGCAACACATACAAAAGGCCAGTGGCGGATACAGGGGGAGGGTCCGGGAGATCCGGATCCCCCCCCCCCCACCGTTATCAAACCTGACGCTTGTCGCTTGCTTGAGACTGAAATGCTTACATCAACAGGATAGTATATCACTTTTAAACTGGCTGATTTTTTAAATGAAACATCATCAAAATTACAGCGTGCAACCGCGACTGGTGGGAGGGGGTGTGGGGGGTGAGGACCCACCCCAATCAAAAATTCCTGGATCAAACCCTGCAAGGCCGTTGTCGATAAGTAATAATCCATAATTACGAACAATTTAATGACTAGCTCAACTGGCTATAAAACTGCACTGGTATCGCAGAGGCAATATTTTGAATCCTGGCAAGCCTGAATTTTTTTAGGCTTTCTTTTCGCAACTGCATATTAAGTTGCGTCACTAATTACAATTATTTTCCTTGCATTTATTCCTTCAGTAGTTCAAATAGATGAAATTCATATATTTATCAAGTCAAAAAAACTTAAATAACTACTTACACGACTAAACGACTTCCTGTTGCAATATCTTGTTAGCAAAGGTTGAATATCATCAGGGATAAGAAGCTTGTTTAACGCATGAAGTACTCCATCACTAGCCAAAATATTCGAACTGATCACGACAGCATCTTCACCTAAAACAATCAGACCCTGCAAAAAATAGATTATAACGCCAGTGGTGGTTTCCCTTTTCATCAGGAGATCACACTGAGCGCGAAGCTTCTTTTTGTTTTCCTCTTGATCGAGGAGGAAAAAAGAAGGCTCTTCCTGAACCGCGTCAAGTCTCTGAAGTCACCGCAGTCCGAACTTCTGTACCAGTCAATCCCGTTTTCTTTCGTCAAACTGCTTTTTTTTAGTGGGAGGCTCCATTTATTAACCAATGGTCATAACTGAACCCGCCATACCAAGCGCACGGCTATTAGGCCTGGGTTCTAAGCTGTATCCTAGCAACATACAGCGCATGCTCAACTAATATCTTACTCGATTCAAGCAGAGCCTTTCGCGAGTTAGGGGCACCCAACGTCAATTTTTGCACAATATCTGTTCGGAAGGCGATTTGAAATCTAGAATTTTCGGAACATTTATTGTAAAATTTCTTGCTTGCCTGCCTCTCCTAGGATTTTCGAACATCTAAAAAATGGTATAATTGCCCATTTTTAACTGGTTTTTACCCTAAAACTGAGGTCACCTAGAATTTTCGGGACCCTTTTTACTGGCAGGAGCCGATTACTTCGGCTCCTGTACTGGCTGAAATTTTCGAAAAGGTAAGTTTTGATCCCTTTAATTTTCGGATCAATAGACTTTCAGCTATGAAATCCGAACAGATGAAAAATTTTTAGGGGATAAAACTATGCCTATATCTACAGTTTAAATACTAAAATACGATCAACAATGCTATGTTTAAGTGGTTTTGAACTATATTTTCGTTGGGTGCCCCTGGCGAGTATGCCAAAATTGAGCAAGTGAAAGAAAGGCTCTGATAGCAGGATATTAAGACACCTTCAGGAGAATCAAGTTATGATGAAGTAGCTAGCTCACTTTATATCATCACCTCCACCATCGGGTACCTAATAAAATTCTACCAGAGATTCCAAGACAATAAACTATAAACGGTGTTAGATAATTATACTATTAATCTTTAACCCTCCGGGTCCCAAGAGTGACCAACATACATTTTCTCCTGATAATCAAAAGGAAAAGTTATGAGAATTAATCCAATGATCACCTAAGTGAAAATGCTACGATCTTTTATCAAAATCTCTCAACTAATTCTTCAAGGAAATGTTTGAAGATCAGTCTGGAGAATTTGTATGTAGATCAGTGCTGAAGGTTAAAGGGTTAACTTTTGCATCTTGCAGCACCCCGTTAATAATTGTACTTGGTACTGAAGGGTTATCCTGGATAAACATCCGATTTCCGTAAAATTCCGAAAATAAGTCCCGGGGCTTATATTTTTCAAAGGCCCTTTTTGAGGGGCTTATATTCGGAGGGAAATGTGCGTTTCAAAATCGATTGGGCTAGCCTTATAGTTAGAAGTAAATTTACCGTTTTTGCTTTGTTTTGCTTTGTATTTGAGGGCAATTTTCCAAGTACAAGCCCCCGGGGACTTATATTTGAAGGGGCGATTTAACGGAGGGTTTTTTGCGTTAACGGGTCGGGGACTTATATTTGGAGGGGCTTATACATGGAGGGGCTTATTTTCGGAATTTTACGGTATTATTATTATCATCATCATCATCATCATCATCATCATCATCATCATCATGCAGAAGATTAACACTGCAGTAAAGGGTTCCCATCATTTTACTTTTCTGGGAAACTACCCACCTACCCCTCCCCTAAACCAACATGAACACTTAGTTCTTACTTAAGGCAAAATGTTGGTTTAGGGGAGGGGTAGGTGGGCAGTTTCACAGAAAAGTAAAATGATCCCGCTTCTTACCCTGGAATGCAGCTTGATAATCACTGACTCGCCTTCCACGGATACAACTTTGCCGCTGTATAACAGGTCCAAAATTGAGAACTGGCAAGGAAAACAACAACAGAGTGTACAAGTTAATACACTAAACAAAAAGGAAACGCATTATAATGTTTAGCCTGAGAAAACAACCGACATTTGGCGACGCTACCACTGGTTTCCCGCGAAAGGACGTCTGAGAAACGAGCGCGGAAATCCCATACTGATGACGTGTCACTACCCAGATCTGGGTAATGCTTCTGATTGGTTGAAGCAAATTTCCCGCCCGGCACGACCAATCAGAAGCATTACCCAGTTCTGGGTGGTGACACGTCATCAGTATGGAATTTCTGCGCTTGTTTCTCACACGTCATTTCGCCAAAACATGCTGACCTCCGTAGATGTTAAGTTCATTTCGATAGTGCAAGTCTATCGGCAAGTTTAGGAGATAAAGGGCTGTTCAGGGTCTGCAAATATACTCCAAATAGCAGATGTCGTCCTTCGAGCTGTCTTTTTTCTGTTCTTGCCGTGTTTTTTAGACAATAGTTCGCCGTGAAACGAGTAAAATGTTCCGCCATTTTGTACTCACTACCAAAACAACTTTAACTCGTCCCCAGGTCTTCTCGGTTAATGGTTCAATAATCTGTCAATTTTTCTGCACGATTGACGTCATCAGTTAAATATCGCAAAATTCTTCCAAATTTGGTCAACAATAGCTGATTATGATGAATTATACGTGGGATTTTAGCCAATCAGAAATGGCGAAATATTTTTGAATAATTGGTATTATTAACAAAATGAACTAGACAGCCGTGGCCAAGCTCCTTTAATTCAGCAACGTCTGGGAGCCTTGCATTTTAAAATAATCTATTTTATCGTAACCTTCAAGTATACCTTTCCAGTAAGGATGTGGTTTCTCAAAAGGGATTTCATCTTTCTTCTTCCCTACAAGAAAGACAACAGTGTGCGATTAAAAAACATCACTTGTCCACTTTACTCTAGCAGTTTGATCTCGGTGATCACGTGGCAACAAGAAATTACCTATAACGGCGTATAGTGTTTTCACATGACGTCACGGCCGCCATATTGGTGTCCCAAAACAATGAAACGGCGGCCATGGTGGTGTCCCAAACCAGTCCTGTGGGAGTTGAATTCTTTTCTTATGCAAACGCTTTCTTTTGTTTCAATAAATTTGCATAGCTGCTGGCCACGTGAGTGAAAACGTTCTGTATAAAAATTATTTTCAAAGAAGGGAGCAACAAGAGACACTTACGCAAAGGGGAATACAAAAATAAAATTCCAAGTAAAATGCTTCACTTAGTCTAGGCATAGGTTCGTTTTTCTAACGCCACTTTACGAAGTAAACCTAAAGCACGCCCGTGCAGCTTGAGGACAACATGGTAAAATGCATTAGTGTAATTGCAAACGTGCATGACTGGAATCAGGAATTTATGCCACACGGTCTATTAAACGCACCAGTGATTTTTGCAAGCCCCAGAAAGCTTTTCAGCACCAAAAAACAAATGACTAAATAAACGACTTAACAAAAAACTCACAAATTACTTCTTCAGTTGTCGACTTTCAATTCCATAATGGAGGGCAACGGGTTTGCCAATCTGGAGAGATTGCTTTAGAGGTGCTTTCCTCGTAAAATAAAGACGATTTCTTTTGTTTTCATTTACACCAATCAGACAAAACCGTTACTTATACGTGATGACATTTAAAGCTTGGTAGCTTGAAGGGTCGTGTATAGGGTATATAATTCCACTACAAGCTTTATGATCAACCAGCTTCGTAATCTTCTTAAGCTTCCCAAACTGCAATACTTACCGCATCAGTGTCGGTTAAGAATCTCATAGTGGTGTTGTCGATCGCCTTGAAAGCGGAATTTACTGGTGCTAACAGGGTAAACTGAGCACCCAGACCAGATAACTCTGAAGCAATTCCTGAAGACTAAAACAACAAAACGTGAGGGATTCGTATATTCCTAATTCAATAAAGGTTAATTGGCAATTGGTCGTTGGTAATTGGGCATTGAGTATTGGAGCATAAGGAGCTCACTGCAATGAATTCCTTGGGTCCTAGTTGCTTCCTAGTGCTCAATTCCTAATGCCCAAAGCAACCTTTGTTGAATCAGTTATGATTTACTTAATTCAATAAAGGTTGCTTGGTCAATTGGGCATTGAGTATTTGCGCATACGGAACTCACGGTAATGAGTTGCTTGAGTGACCGCTAAACAATAGCTTCCTAGTGCGCAATTGGCCAATGCCTAAAGCAACCTTCATTAAATCAAAAATTTACTTCATTCGATAAAGGCTGCTTTGGCAATCGGTCATTGGCAACTGGGCATTGGGTATTTGTGCATACGGAACTCGCTGCAATGAATTGCTTGAGTGACCGCTAAACAATAGCTTCCTAGTGCGCAATCCTACCGCACTGTTACTGATCATTAATGTGACTGTGCGATGCACTTAAGCAATTAATGTGTTGTTGTTTGACTGCGTGATGCAGCTCCTTTGTCATAACCCCTAGAGATACCATTGATCTCCAGGGTCTCCAGTAGCTCAATGGCTAGAGAATCTGTCTAAAGTGCAGGAGGTCGTACGTTCAAATCCCGGGGTACTCCCATATATGGGCTAGATACAGAGGCGGATCCAGGGGAGCCCCCCCCCCCCCCCCCCCACCACCCCTTATCCCTGGACCAAACTGAAGCCGGAAGGGCCAAAAAAGATTTTTGAGACCGCCCCCACCCACCCCTCCCATCCGAAGGTCTGGATCCGCCATTGAGATAGGTATGTGTCACCCATACCGTTATTATATCAGCTAAAATTCAAGCGCGTAAATGCCCACCTACACGAGAAACAAATCATCTGTTAAAGCTGAACTTTACCTTAGAGTATTAGGGAAGCGATTTTAGGAGGATTTTTTTTCCGTTACATTCTTAAGTTTTGTGTTATCCTGAAAATGGGTCTCATTTTACAGGTTTTTACCAAGGGGATCAGTCTTCGTTTGTCTCATCCTTAAATAGGGTCAGGGTGTAAGACCCAAGGCGGCACACCCCAATCCCAAATTTTCGGGAGTATCTCCCGGGGTCCAAAACCCAACTGGAACTCAGAAATTTCCGTGGATTCCTTCTGGTTGATTCTCATCGATTTGCTTTTCTAATTCATACCTGTAAGAGTGATGCAAAGACTGCGAATCTGCTCTGACTGAAGAGAACCTGAAGCGATGATTTCTGGAAGAGAGAAAAACGTTTCCCATGTACAATAAAACTCAACTAAACAAAAAAAAAGTTACAATCGTGTTACGCACCCGGTTAGGGTTCGTAGGTTGACCAAGGCAGTCTACTGGTCATTTACTGAGTAACGAGGAATTCCGGATTGTTAGAACGATTTGATGTTTCATTTCAGGCTCTAAACAGAAAAACAACCGACTTGAAGAAAACAATAAAACTGCAAATCTTTAATTTTCGTAACTTACAGAACGTGTTTCTTGATAGTCTCCGACGTGCCACATGATCTTGTCAATCACATGAATCATACCATTACCAGCCAACAAATCGTTAAACAGCACAGATGCATTGACATAATGCCCATCCAGCTTGAAGTACGTAACATTCTGTTTGTACAAAAAAGTATCACATCAACTTCCAAACAAAATGAAGCTTGAGCAGTCTATTCTGAAATACATGATCGTTAATCATTTCGAATAAACAAACAGGTAAAGGTAAGTAAGGTATTCCAAACAGCCATCAGTCACATCACGATTTTATAAAATGTTCACTTGACTTAAAGCATGCATCTTTACTCCTTGAAAAGCTTTCCAGAAATTTGCAACAAGAAAAAAGATATCAAGTAACATGATTTGTACAGAATTCTTTACAAAACGTCCGCAAAAACGTGTAGCTACATCGCTTTATTCACTAATTTTGCAAAAAAAAAAAGACTCATCTTGAGGAGTTCTCATAGGTGATTAAGCTGTTTTTCTCAAGGGTAAAAAAATAAGAAAACGAGAAAGCCATATATGGTAAACTGCCCCTGATAAGCCCCTCAACTTATGAGCCCCCAAGTTAAAGGCCCATCTACCTGTTATAGACTCCCTCAGATATAAGTCCCTCCGTTTATAGGCCCTCTTAAAACCCCTTACGAAGATGTTTAAGGTCAGGGCTTATAAAAAAAACTCAATAACGGCTATCCTTAGATGAGTCTACCATTACCTGATATTCTGCGATGGTTGCATTAATTCCTTCGAGTGTTGCGACTTTTCCATACTTTTTCAAAGCAAATGAATCGAAATCGCCAGCTATCAAATGTCTACTGACGAAATGCGAAGCCATATCTAAATTGGCAGTCAACTCAGCCTTCTATAAATTCAACAAGTAAATGAATGTCATTCAAGAGTAACACTGGAAATTTCACGTTTCAACGGGAGCCTGGCTGGATGCAGCGTCCAGTTGCAGTTTGAATTTCTGTGAGGGGACGAACTTTGACCCGGTTTCCCACGACCCTATGCAACCTCCAAATAGCCAATTGAAGCGATAGCATCTCTCAAACAGGTCAGTGTAAAACGAGGACTGCGGAGTGCGAACAGCAGACAGAGTGTAAAAAGTCTGCAGTCCTCATTCTACATTTTACACTCAGTCTGCATTTTACCCCTGGTCCGCACTCTGCGTTTTACACTCACCATCTCTCAAACTTTCCCAGAATGCAACTGGACACACACGAACCCAGTGTACTTAACATTTACATGGGAAAACCGGAAATTCCAGTTGAAAAAAATAAAATGGTTCGCGTCAATCCGTTTGAGAAGCTTCATAAAAAAGGATGTGTGAACTGAGGCAATGCAATTTTTCTACTCTTTTTAGTCTGTTCCGCTTATTTGGATATACATTGTAGTAGCGGGTCGTTTTCCCACCACGTCAAATTTTATAATTAAATGTTAATACAAATCCGCTGCGTTGTTCTATTTTCTGTGAAATCTACTTTGTTGTCCTTCTTTCCAGTATATAATGTACCTCTATAGTCTTTATTTTTGCGGGCGACCAGAGGAGCCCGCAATCCTAATGTCCAAGTTGTTATCAAGCATGCGTCGCATAAATGTAGCCAGCATTCGTTTGGACTTCCACTAAGAATGCATAGAATGCACAGAACGCAATTTGATAATGCGCCTTTGGATTTTCAATCACTCGTAAACTGATCACGCGTGTTTTGACCATCTGTCACGTGAAACTTTCGCAAAGCACAGCCCTGGAGCAAAAGCGTTTTGAAGTTCGATTGTTGTCGCCCGCATTCCATAACCTTTGGTTATTACTAGTCTACTTTACCTGTTCCTGGGTAAGGTTTGCAAAAGCATCGTCCACCATCAGGAACAGAGTAAATGGCCCGGCACCAGCAAGAGCTTGGTGAACAAACGAGCCAGTCAGCAAATCAATGGCAGTATTCAGTTGTCCCTTGAGTCCATTTGGGCCTTGAAGGTTCAGCTCTTTTACCCTCTGCAACAACATAACATCATATTGGACACAAAGGGTACATGACAATCCTTACAGGCCAGGCTAGGTAACTCCACAACGACCACAGGCAGCCCGCAAGGACTGCAGGCAGCCCACATTCCCCACTCCAGAAATGGCAAAGGGAATGGGTGCAAGCTTTCGGCGCAAAGATATTTGGGATCGTTTGGGTGGACAAGCGTTAGTTATGATTGGTTAATAGTTGTCTTGCATACCATCGACCAATCATAACTAACGCTTGTCAACCCAAACGATACCAAAAACCGTTCTCCAAAAGCTTGAACCCATGCATCCCCCTTGAGTGGGGAATTGCCAGTGTGGTTTTCCTGTGTGAAGTAGCAATGTGGCTATCCCCTGCCTATGCTAGCCAGCTACAGGGTTCCCATCAGCACTCTGTTCTATTTTACAACCTGATATGGAGCGCCAATGTGGGGCACAACTCTTGTCAACTGGAGGACAAAGGCCTGACCCTTCGTAATTCACTTCTGCTATTCACCAAACTTACTGCTACATCACAATTACTTCGCTTGACCCTCCACACTAATAAAACTGCATTTTACTTTTCATGGAAAAGTCGTACTTTCAGGGAGAAGAAATAACTTTTGATAAAGATAAGAACGACAACGCATCGATAAGTGAGCCCCAATTTGAATTTAAGGTGGCTTACTACAGTTTTCAGATGAAAACTATCGACTTTTTCAAATTGGAACATCACAATTACTTCTCTTAACCCTCTACGTTATTAAAATCTGCACTTAACTTTTTATGGTAAGACCAACTTTCAGGCTAAAAGCTAACTTTCGATACAGGTAAGAAAGACGACTTCTTGACAATGTGAACCCCAATTTTTATTTAATTTAGCTTGGGAGGTGAGCCAGTCCAGCTTGACATACCCATTATTACAAAGTCAAACCACATGGCAGTTGCTAATTTGGTAGTTGAGTAACATTACGTATAAGCCACTTAGTGTATCAAGCATTCAAGCAGTGTTCTCATTAAAGATGTTGTTTACCTGAAGAATGTTGCCATAGCAAGTGGTTCCATTTCCTCGATAGCCATTCTTACAGTCACACCTATTAAGTAAAAGAATAAGACCATTTTGACCAGTTTAAAGAACTGTATGAACAGGCATGCATTATAAACAATAATCTGCATGTAGCAAGAGCCATACCTCTTTACTCCTGGTCCTATCATTGTACAGTTTGCATGGACGTCACACCCGCCTCCATTTTCACAGAGATCAATCATCACACAACCAGCCCCACTTGTATAGTTTTGAAATCCAGGAAGACAGCTGCAGTTACTCTACAATGAATATCACCTTTATAATTAGTAATGTGTTGAAATGGAAACTCAGGCCTGGCTCAAATGGAACGCTCGCGTGCAAAACGAAAATTTGATGAAGCTGAACTTTGCAACGACTTTCTTATTTTAGATCGAAATTTTAAACAAACGACATACTTACAACAAACGCAACATTTATTATTTATAGTTCGCTCTTTCTATATAAATTATCAA